AAAGCAGTATGGAGATACCTCAAAAAATTAAAGATGGATCTGCCTTTTGACCCCATGATTCCACTTCTGGGAATATATCCAAAGGAACCCAAAACACTAATTTGAAAGAACATAAGCAACGCTATGTCCACCACAGCATTATTTACAATCGCCAAGGTAATAGAAGCAGCCCAAGTGTTTATCAATAGATGAGTGGATAAAACTCATCTGTGGGACATTTACACGATGGAATACCTTTTAGCTGTACAAAACAAGAAAATTTTACCCTTTACAACAGTGAGGATGGACCTGGGAACATTATGCTAGGGCCATCAAGGAACATGTACAAAGGACACATGGACAAAGCCAAATGAGGTAGGTTCGAGGGTGGAAAGCAGGGATGGGTGAGGGTTGAGGGCGTGGTGTGGTGCAAATGGAGACAACTGTGCTCGAACAACAAACAGTATGAAAATAAAAAGAGCATTATGCTAAGTAAAATAAGCCAGTCAGAGACAGACAGATACCATATGATTTCACTCCTATGTGGAACCTAGTGAACAAACTGTATGAACAAGCAGAATGAGACAGACGCGTAGAGAGCAGGATGACAACTAAGGGGGTGGGGGGAGGTTAGGAGACGGAAAGATTAAACAAAAAGAAAAAGGACTCATGGACATGGACAACAGTGTAGTGACTGAGGGGGAGGGGGGCATAAGGGGACTGAATTGTAATGGGAAAAAAGAAACCTTTCAGAAACAAAAATTTTTTTTTTTTTACTAAAGTCATCTGATTAGCAACCTTAAAAAATGGAACATATACCTAGGTCCAACTACTCTGTTCATTACTATATAATAAACTCTCTCTTTACTTATGCTATACCTTGTTTTAGGACATTTACTTCTAATACAGATAGAATAAAGGATGACTTCAGAGACTGAAAGCTTGCTCACAAGATTTCTTCTTCATAGCTAAGACTGCCACCTAGTGGGCTAAAGCAAAAAATCTTTATCAATATAATCTAGACAAAGCATTGTGAGAAGTAAAATACAAAAAAAAGACTCAGAAAAATAGAAGACAAATGTTCAGATATGCATTAACTTCCAGTGGGACTTCTCTGGAAACACACATACCTTCCACAATTAACAGAAACACAGTTTTTTAAAATGAGTGCTTTATGCAATACTGACACTTTCAACTACAAAAACAAAAACAATGACTCATTCCCGAGGTTCCTGTGGGTGGCTGTTTTCCACAGGACCTTACAGCACTGTATGAACACCTCAATAACAATGTGCAACACGATGTACTGCATGTGTCCCCATGTCATTTCTTCCTCAGCCTATAAGCTCCAGGGCAGAAACTTTATTCATGGTAAGATCCCTTGTATCAATGAATGTGCTCAATGTAAAACTGCATGAAAAAGTGTGAAAACAATGTACTTAATTTTTCTCTATCTTATAAACATAAGATGTACCTTTAATAGAATTCTCAACCCCGGCAATGTTCTCCCCAGTGAACATTTGGTAATGTCTGAAGTCATTCTGATTGTCAACATTGAAAAGAGTATGCAAGCCCTGGCTGGCATAGCTCAGTGGATTGAGCGCGGGCTGCGAACCAAAGTGCCGCAAGTTCAATTCCCAGTCAGGGCACATGCCTGGGTTGCAGGCCATGACCCCCAGCAACCACACATTGATGTTTCTCTCTCTCTCTCTTTCTCCCTCCCTTCCCTCTCTAAAAATAAATAAAATCTTAAAAAAAAAAGAAAGAAAAAGAAAAGAGAGTATGCTACTGGCATCTCAAGAAGCCAGGGATGCTGTTAAACATCCTGTAGTGTACAGTGACACGCCCAACATCAAAAAAATTATTCAACTCAAAATATCAGTACTGCCAAGGTTGAAAAACCCTGCCTCCTCCCAAATATCTTTCCTGGAAAGTATACAGATTAATGAAAAATACCAATTTACAATAACAAACTGAGCCTAGAACCTAATTCTGTTTTACACAAAAAAATCTTTTTATGTTTTAATACACATTGGATTTTCTAGAAACATGCAATGTGTACTGTATATATAGTATGATTAACCTTTGTAAATAACAGAAAAGCTACATTTTGTATTTTTTAGATTTTTACAAAGAATTCTTTATCATACTTATGAAAGGCATCAATTATGACATTTAAGTTGCCAATGCATCACACCTGTATTTCCATTTGTAGCTACCATGTAGTGGGGGGAAAAAAAACGGATTCTATGGAAAGTAACCTCACAGGGTGATCTGATCATAAATTCCTACGTGGACAGGTCATGGTGGGTAGTCACATAACTTCAGTAAAAGGCTCGTCTTTGTCTTCAGCAAGCCCTGTCCATTGTGTCTGTGCATCCAGGTCAACACACCTCTGACAGTTCTCTTCTCAGACCCTTCCTTCTAAAGTGTGACCTCCCTCAAGAGGGCACATCATCTTGTTAACTATCTTGGAATCCAGTTCCCTGCCTTGCCTTCTCCCACCTTCATGTAATCGTCCATAGTTCCAAATGCATAAAAGCTGCCACAAACTGTCATTTCTTGGAAGCATTTTATCTGTCTACTCAGATCTTGCTTCCAGGTATATCCTCTGTCACAAACAAATTCTGATAAAAGTTCTCTATAGGTTTGGATGTTTCTTACATCAACTATCCCCTACATTTAGCAAAGTAAGTGAGGCATATAAGAAGATACTAATTATTTGTGGGAGCTGCTGGGTTGGTGAACACGCGAAGATTCAGGGAGAAAGACATGCTGGGACCAGGGAAGATCCCTGCCCCTCCCCACGTACTCTGCCCTATGCATCCCTTCCATGTGGCTGTTCCTGAGTTACATCCTTTTACAATAAACAGTAAACTAGACTCCAAACTCCACAGAGGCCCACTCTTGGGACACCCCTCTCAGGAACCAGCCACGTTTCCGTGAGAACCCCGAGTCACACGGAGGAGCCCAGCCAAGCGCTCAGCCAGCAGTCATCGGCTGTGAGCCATCCTGGCGTCGAGTCCAGTTGAGCCTTCAACACCAGCTGCCAGCTGACCGCAAACACATTTAGAGATGCCAGAATTTTTTTGTTTCTCTGGATGAAAAAGTGCTCAAAGGGAAATGTTCTGCCCATGTGGAAGAGGTGAAACAAAAATGACAGAAGCACTCAAAGACACTAAAATCTACAAGTTCAAAACCTGTTTTGAGCAGGGGGAAAAAGTCTATAGGTGTAGTGCATCAAATGGACAGTATTTTGAAGGTGACTGAAGCTTAAACATGTAAGACTAAATGCACAATTTTTTATAACTGAATTCTGGCTTTTTTGGTTCATATATATATATATATCTCAACCTCCCCAAAACTCAATTTCCAAGTAATGGGGAGAATACATCATACAATAAGATTGTATATAAACTGATACTCAGAACTGACTCAGAAGATTAAAACCAACTGTATGCCATCTACAAAGGAACTATCTAAAACAGAAGACAGGTATAAAGTAAAAGAATGGGCAAAAAGATATCAAATTTTTAAAAAGGTACAGGTGTTAAGATAGTAATATGAGATAAAGCTGGACTGCGAGTAAATTAATATGACCAAGAGTGATATGTTACAATGATCATAGATCGAACTCTTAAACTATAAATGTCAAGACTGTTTTAAACCAAAAACCGCACAGGAAAATATATAACGGAATAGCTAAAATTCAAAATATAGGTATCACCCATTTAAATAGAAGACAACAAACATATAGCTTAGCATCCAATTCTATAATTACAACAAAAAAATCTTTCTGAAAATATACATTTCAAAATACTTGTGTGTAACTTTTATTTAATTTTCTAACTTATGTTAAAATTGTACTTTAAATAATTAACAAAGGAAAATTACATATAAAAATGAAAACTAAAACTTTTCATAAAGTTCTGATAATTGCGATATTTTTCACAAAATTGTAATAATTTTATATAAAATAGTATGCTTTCAGCACTGGCTGGCGTAGCTCAGTGGATTGAGCACGGGCTGGGAACCAAAGTGTCCCAGGTTCGATTCCCAGCCAGGGTACATTACTAGGTTGCAGGCCATAACCCCCAGCAACCGCACATTGATTCTCTCTCTGTCCCTCCCTTCCCTCCCTAAAAATAAATAAATAAAATCTAAAAAAATAAAATAAATAAAATAAAATAAAATAAAATAGTATGCTTTCTAAAAATTGCTCACGCTTTTACAATGTTTTTTATAATTTTTTATTTTTAGAGAGGAGAGAATTATCAATATGCAAGAGAAAACATCCAAATGGATGCCTCTCGTGGGCACTGCAACCAGGGACCAAACCCACAACCCAGGTGTGTGCCCTGACGGGGCACCAACTGGCAGTCTTTCACTCTGTGAGATGACACCCAGACAACCGTGCCACTGGTCAGGGATGCAATGGTTTTTCACAAATGGCACTGATACATCTGTCAGTGAAGGCAAAACTCCCACTCGTTTGATCCCATCCTTTGTTACTGTAAAGCTTACAAGTGCGGTGATTTGCACTTGTAAGCACTAAAACACAGAGCAAATTCTCTGTATTATTTTGTTCATCCCACTGATTCAGAAAGACAAACTTCTAGTTCCCACTAAAAAGGGAAAAAATAATCTCTTCCCCTTTTATCTAATTTGATAATCAAAAGAGTAAGTTATTTGAGAGTATCAGTTACCAACAAAAGTTTATTTTCTCCCATCTTGCATCAAGCTTTCATGTCAGGATATGAAGTAATATTTGCAAAATAAAATAACCGAGAAACTCCTTTTTTGCTACAGCTGGGGTATAAGCATAGTAAATCATAAGCTGCTATACCATGACTGCAAGTGTAATTAACTGAAACTCTCAAATTGCATTCTGAGAATAAATGTTATGACTTACTCTAAGAGATGACAATGCTAAAAAAACAAATAAAAAGCAGTACTGTAATGTTATAAATTTTGTAACACACTTGCAAACTAAAGAAAGTACTTATACAGAAAAGGCTTACCTTCGTCCACAGAAAACTGACAGCTCTTATCATTGAAGAAAAGAATTTTCTTCTTATCAGGACGACTTACAAATAGTATCTGGTCCCCTAGAGCCTTAAAGATAAAGAACATTTTTTCAGTTAACTCTCCAAATTACCTCACTACCACCACCACTTCCAGTTTTGTTTTGTTTCGTTTTTTTTACAACAAAGAATTTCCATTTCTTTCAACTCTCGGTATACCATTAGGGTCCACTAGGCCCAATTTTAGGTCTTGAGTTTCTTTCTTGATCAGTTCTGACTATTTTTAAGGATTGCTACTTCAAGACTTTCATTCTTAGACGTCTTCAAAGTACAAGAAGAAAATTTATTTTTTAAAAAAACAGAATAAAAGTATGTGTGGCAATTATGATTTGGGTTCACTGGACTCTTTTATTAATCTCAGAAAAATAGTAGGATCTTAGTGTTTTTACTTTTCTTCAACCTTGAAATATTTTGCTACTTATTCAGTACACCTCAATTATTTCTAATGCTTTAAAAAGCTAAAATAAGAAAATGAAAGAATTATCAAATCACCTAGGACTATGAGGCAATAGTGAAATAAAGAGCCACATTTCAGGTTTTTTTATTCCATTGCCAAAAGTATGACATCATCTCTCAAGAAGGTATAAAAGACCGAAGAGTCTTTGTTGTCTTTTAGCTTTCTTAAGCACAGCTGACAATTCAGAATTTATTTTCTACTACTCAGAGCAATGGCAAGAAAACTGACAGAAGATATTTCATCACTATTATTAATGAATGAGAACAAAAATACAAAAAGCCTGCTAGCACACTCTAGAGTCTAATGATGACAGTAAAATTCATCATGGAAATAAAGTCTCAAACTATGAGTATTTAAATGACAATACCACAGTGAATACTCTCAAGCTATAGGATCAACAAGTGAACAACATACGTCTAAGGAAATAAAATATTTTTATCCAGTTAGTTATTCAACAGGAAGGACTTCATTGTATATTATGTGATAAGAATCTCTGCTACCTCCCTCTGCTAAAAGGACATATACTTCCATCTTTTTGACATGTGTTTGCCAAAACATACCTGATACAGAGGTTTGCTATACTAAAGCCTTTTTCTTTAATCCCCACCTGAGGGCATTTTTTCATTGCTTTTTTTAGAGGAAGGAAGGGAAGAAGAAGGGACAGAGAGAAACCAATGTAAAGGAGAAGCATCAACTGGCTGCCTCCTGTACACACCCAGACCAGGGATCGAACCCGCAACCCAGGCATGTGCCCTGACTGGGAATTGAACCTGCAACCTTTTGGTTACAGGACAACACTCCAACCGACTGAGCCACACTGGCCGGGGCACTATACTAAATCCGTATTAAAATTTCTAGTTAAGCTGTTTTTCACCATCCCTTTATTTTTATATAAATTATTCATAACATGACAATACTTTTTAAAATAATAAAACAAACTTCAATGGACCCAGGTGGTAAGAGCAGAATAAAAATTGAGTTTCAAGCAATTCTGAAATAATCCTGCCTGAAAATGAAATAGACTGTATGCTTTTCCTGACCCCTTCAGCTCTAATCCTTAGGGAACAGAGCCACTAAAGATAAGGTATCAAAGTGACTTTACACCACAAAATGGTTTAAAATAGAATAAGCAATGATCAGTTTACACCACTGTTCTACTTTAGAATGTAATGAAAAGTCTACTGCATAGTAATAATATGTGAAAACGGGAAAGAAAGAACGGAGCAGGAAACGCACCTAGCACTCTCGACTGTCAGCTAAAATCCAGTAGTTCTATGTTTTAACATGCTATAATGTACACAATTTATACACTTTGGCCATATTTTATTTTCAACATTTGTGCAGGTTAAGTTTAGACACTTTTAAATTAAAAATATTAAGAGGGTTCTGCTTCTAATAATGGCCAAGTAACTTCTAAGGGACCCACCTTCCCACAGAAAACAACTACAAACTCTGGACTTTTTTTTTTGAAAAGTAGAAGAGCTAAGAACAAAACAGATCTTATGCCTTCCACCCACTGCAGAAAAGACAATTTGGAGTGGAGCCTAGTCAAGATAAATACCCAACTAAAAACAAAACAAAAACATTCTCTGGAGCAGTAAAACAGAATCCTGAGTTGCCCAGAGAGGTGTGGCTCCGTGGGTTGGGAGTCGTCCTGCAAACCGAAAGGTCCACTAGGCCAGGTCCCCGGCTGGGGGTGTGTGAGCGGCCACCAATCAGTGTTTCTCTCACAAATCAACGTTTCTCTCCCTCTTTCTCCCTCCATTTCCCCCTTTCTAAAAATAAATAAATAAAACCTTTAAAAATATCCTGAGGCTTTATACATATGGTTCACAAAATTCAATAAGCAACAGAAATTTATTAGATACATGAACAAACAGGCAAACGTGACCCGTACTCAAGAGACAGAGTCAGTGCAGACAGGTACCAAGATAAAATCTGAAGAGAAGGATTTTAAAGCAGCTATAAGAAATTGCATTTAAGGAGATAATGGAAAATTTGCTTATAATGAATTAAAAAAATTCAACAAAGTAACAGAAACCATAAAGAATGAAAAGTCTAGAAATGAAAAATACAATCTCTAAAATAAAAAGTTGTCCTGGCTGGTGCAGCTCAGTGAATTGAGCGTGGGCTGGGAACCAAAGGGTCACTGGTTCAATCCCCAGTAAGGGGATATGCCTGGGTTGTGGGCCAGGTCCCCAGTGGGGGCCACGTGAGAGGCAATCACACATTGGTATTTCTCTCCCTCTTTCTCCCTCCCTTCCCCTCTCTAAAAATAAAAATCTTAACTTAAAATAAAAAGTTCACCAAATGGGCTTAACAAATTAGAGGTGAAGAAGAAAAGTCAGTGGACTTGACACTAGATGAATAGAACAAAATACAGGCTGAAAAAATAAACAGCCTCAGGATGTAGGACACCACCAAAAGGTCTAATAATGTGTGACTTAATTCCCAAGAGGTAGAGGAGAGAAATGAGCAAGTGTTACTCTACAGGTAACAAAAAGAATGAACCTGCTTACAGGTTAGCACCAATCATCACCAACTGGGAAAAACAGAGACTGGCAGCCTTTCCATGTGAGTTCCAAATTCAAACTGGAAATGTAACCTGTATGACTGACTTCTACTGACAGTCCCTTTAGGAGCTCAAACACCCAGCTCATTAGCCAATGTTTTTGTGTTTAATGTGTCTGGTTCCTCAGGCTGACAGTGTCTACTAGCTCTGTAGTTCCTGTACACAAACATAAAAACTTCCGAGAAGAACACTTGTGCCTTTGAGAACTTTCTGGAGATATTCCGAAGAGTCAAACAAGCACAGGCACCACCACCAGGACAGGAAGCCGTCCGAGGCACAGGACCACGGCTGTGCTCTGTCCTGCTCTGCAGCAGGAATGCCAAATTCTCAACTGCCTCACCACAACCCCAGGTATATACGATGGAGCCTTTCAAAGTGAAAATTTAAAAATCCTTGCTATTTTTTAAAACCAAGATGACATTATTTTTTTCCTTTTTATTGAATTTAGTGGGGTCACACTGACTGACAAAATGATACAGGTTTCAGGCGCACAGTTCTACAGCACATCATCCGCACACTGTGCTGTGTGTTCTCCACCCCAAGTCAGTCTCCGTCCACTACCATTCATCCCCCGACACCCTCTCCGCCACCTCCTCCACCCCCCAAACTACATTATTAATTCGAATTATATAGAAGCATAGAAAGAAGAGAGAGGTCACCTTGACAGCTTTCTGGGAATTGGGCAGTCCTTCCTCTATGTCTTCTAAAAGGATTCCTCCTAAGCCTCGCTGGTCATGCTTATCTAAGAGCCTCAGCAGGGCTTTCTTGTCCTTTAGGTTGTACTTGGGCTTGAAGGCATACTTCCCGTCTATTACTTCAATTTTGGGGTTATTGACTAATGCCTGTAACAGTGACACAATTTGGACATATTAACAAAAGGAAACTTTGTATATACATTCTTAAGTTCCACTAATTATTTTAAAAAATACACGACCCAATACAATGACAAATTAAAAGTATCTTATGAATATCAACTAGCAGATCTGTAATACTTGGACATCCAGGATCCAAAACAATATACTCTAGAGATCAACATGGTGCTCACTTTTTATAAAGGAAACTATTATTTACCTAAATTCTTTGGGTAAGAAAGAAATCATTTTATCACAACTGTTTGAAGAAAGCTGTACTCATATTCTTTTGGACAACCAAAGAGACAAGAATCAATACAATATCTATTAACATAAACAAAGTGAACTGGGTATTGCCTATCTACTCTCAAAGTACAGGTTATGGGATATTGGCTTTACAATGTGAGAAGCATTCCCCCCGTTGGTCAGTAACGGTGGGTCTGCCCTACCTGGCATCAAATGGCACCAGCAGCTGTGGAAGGAAGTGAAATGGACCAAACCAGTGCATATAGGAAATGTACCTATTATGTCAGCTCAAGAATGAAGCTGAGTAGGAATGTAGGAATTACTGAATGTAATTATGTTCCCAGTCAGTTCTGCTGTACAGCTAACATCAAACAGAAAGCTTTTTAAGAAAGAGAAACCCTATTTATTTTCTTTTGCAGCTAACAGCCTGACCATGAAAGGAGAAAGAAACAAAGAAGGGAGAATAAAATAGTAAGAAATATAATCTTGAGTGTCTGCAGTCTGTGAAATTCCAGGATTAAGTATAGCAACAAAACAATGTGATTTACCACTATTTGTATATCACTAATATAATGAGCTACAATGATAATGATTAACTGGTTCATTTATATTATGAAAGAACAATATTTGCTTGCTAAAATAATTGAAGTATACTTTAAGAATTTTCCGTTTGGTCTTTAGATTAGCACAGGTCCTAGAAAGCAGTCTTCTTCATTGTCAATGTCATACTTAAACAAAAAAGAGGGAAATTATCTGAATTTTTAAAAAATGTTATTCATTTCCAAATTACCATGATCACTTATTGGTTTGGGGTTCCTTTTCTTCCAATGCTGTGTGTATATATACAATGTTCAGGATGGTTCTTCCCAGTTACTTGCTGGAGGCATAACATTACTATCAATTCATAATGGTAGTAGTAGTATAGCAAATATCTCGCTTAACAAAATACCTTGCTACCCCTGTTACCTCATGCTTTCACCGTCTTAAACATATGTAAAGACAATACCATTTGCCAACACATTATACATTATAAAATTTAGCAATTCAAAATAGGCAACAATTCTGTAAAAACTTAAATGAAATTGATACAACGGCTGACTTTTATAACTTTTAGGCTAAGGTCTCTGACATTTTTAAATAGGTATATAAGATTACATGAAAACCAAATCAAATGTTCTTAAAATAAGAATGTTTACAAAACAAAGACCCTACACCAATTCTTTTTTAAAATAAGTAAAAACAATTACCAGATTTTAGTCTATTAAAAACCCTAGGTGGAGCAAATATTTCATGGTAATCAGCTAATTTCTTTAAAATATTTTAAGCCTATTCTTACCTCAGTCATTAGCCACTGTTTTTGCTTGAGTCCGATATCTAAATGTTGTGTTTCATCCAAAATTTCTTCTAAAGTTAGAGGATGTGTATCACCTCGCTGATGACGTGTCTATTGGGGGAAGATATTATAAGATAGTTTTAACATGCTAGGTGCATTAACAAGTAAATCAATCTTTTAAGCAATGTAGAACATGTATTATCTGAAGCAGTACAATTACAGTGATGAAGAGAATGGACTATAAAAATCAGACAGAGCCAGGTTCAAACTTACGGTTCTATAAAATCAAATGCTAAACTGAGAGAAATATTTGCAACTAATATGACAAGGAACTAATCTTCCTAATAGTTTAAGAGCTCTGAAAACCTATCAGGAAAATGAGACAAAGATAGGAACACATAAATCAAAGAAAAAGAAATGCAAATGACCTTAAACATGAAAAGATATTCATGACCTTAAAACTCGAAAAGATACTCAACCTCCACCAAGATATTTTTACCTATGACACTGCTGAAAATTCATGTGACTAATGGTGAGGTTCTAAGAAAACAGGCCCTCTCAAACGCTACCATAAAGAATACTAACTGTGCCCTGGCCAGGAGCTCAGATGGTCAGAACATCACCCCATTCACCAAAAGGCTGAGGGTTCGACCACCAGTCAGGGCACATACCTAGACTGCAGGTTTGATCCCACTTCAGTAGCAAGTAGGAGGCAATCGATCAATGTCTCTCTCTTACACCGGTGCTTCTCTCTATCCTCCTCCCTCTCTCTCTAAAAGTCAATAAACATATCCTTGGTTGAGGATTAAAAAAAATACTAATTGTGAGTGTGCTTACCTGAATGTGTTTCTTTCTGCAGAAATTTAGAGAAAGCTGGCAATAGTAAAGTCATGTTGCGAGCCTTAAAGACACTGAAGTCATTAAGGTCCCTGAAAATGGCTATAAGGAGAATTTTTTTAAAAAAAGAGTACTAATTGAAGAGCATTTGAGATCTTGCTCCCCTGCATGTCTTCAGTTTGGCTCAAATAAACTCACAAAAACTATTAAAAATGCTAATTGACTGAAATAGAGGTCAGGCTGACAGTGCCCACACAAGAGGGTAGAGGGAATTTCAGGGGACAGTGGGAAAGGTTCACGGGAACGAACTTAAAGGACACATGGTCAAAAACTAAGGGGAGGGTAGTAATGGGAGGGAAGTGGGGATGGGTGGGAGGGGGGGCTGGATTGGGAGTAAAAAGGAGAAAACTAATTGAACAATGATTAAAATAAAATTAATAAAAGAATATAAAGAGAAAAAAATACTAATTGATTAGTATTTTTACTAAGAGTAAAACTAATATTTTAAAAACTATTAAAAATACTAACTCTCAGGGAGGGCAACTTCACAATATGAATAAATTTAAGCCCTTTGTCCCAGCAACTCCATTTCCAGGAATTAACTCTACAGATATACAAGACAACACAAAAGAGTGACAAGGTCGCTGCAGCATCGCTTGCAAAAGATCAGAAACAACCCTGGTGGCTAATTAAATAAACTGCAGCACATCTATGCTACTATACAGATGTTAAAAAAGAAAATACAGATGTTCTCTCCATGCTAATTTCAAAAGACATCCAGGACAAATTATTAAAGAACATATAGATACCAAATGTTGGTGAGGATGCAGAGGAACAGAAACTCTCATTCACTGCTGGTGGGAATGCAAAATGGTACACATGTTCTGGAAGACAGTTTGGGATTTTTTTTTTGTAATTAAACATGTTCTTATATGATCTAGCAATTATGCTCCTTAGTATTTACCCAGATGAGCTGGAAACTAATGTTCATGCAAAGACCTGCTTCATGCAAAGACCTGCACACAGATGCTTGTGTCACTCTATTCATAATTGCCAAAATCTGGAAGCAACCAAGATGTCCTTCAGTAGATGAACTGATAAACTGTGGTCCACCCAGACAATGGAATGAACTGTAATGTGCTGAATGAACTCAGCACAAAAATAAACTATCAAGTCATGGAAAAACATGGAAGAATCTTAAATGCCTATTACTAGTTGAAAGAAGCTAAGCTGAGGCTACATACCAACAACTATGTGATATTCTAGGAAAGGTAAACCTACGGAAGCCATAAACAATTCAGTGGTTGCCAAGGGGTGAGAGAGGAGAAGGGATGAAGATGCAGAGCACAGATGATTTCTAGTGCAATGAAAGTATTCTGCATGAAAGTATGATGAAGAACACATTCACTATACACTTGTCAAAACCCATATACCTCCCTGGCTGGTGTAGCTCAGTGGATTGAGCACAGGCTGCAAACCAAAAGGTCGCAGGTTCAATTCCCAGTCAGGGCACGTGCCTGGGTTGTGGGACTAGGTCCCGAGTTGGGTGCGTGCGAGAGGCAACCACACATTGATGTTTCTCTCCTTCTCTTTCTCCCTCCCTTCCCCTCTCTCTAAAAATAAATAAAATATTAAAACAAAAACCCCGTAACAACTCCAAGAGTGAATTCTAATGTAAACTATGGACATAGGATGACAATGATGTGTCAGGTGCAGATTCACAAATGCACCATAATGGTGCAGGATACCCCAGTATGAGACTGGAAGTGGGGTAGTGAACATAAGAACTCTGCTTTCTGCCCAGTTACTATAAAAACCTAACACTGCTCTAAAAAATAAAATCAATTAAAAACAACTTCTATATATATAATAGAATATTATTTAGCCATTTTAAAAAAGTAAATACTGCGATTTACAACAACATGATTGGACCCTGAGGGCAATATACTAAATAAAATTCAGAAGGAGAAAGAAAAATACTGTGTGATCTCACTCATATGTAAAATTCCCCACCCCAAAAAATCCTAAATTTAACAGATACAGAGAACAGACCAGTGGTTGCCAACGGTTGAAGTTAGGGGGTGGACAAAATGGGTAAATGTGATCAAAATTACAAACTTCCAGTTATAAGATAAGTCAGTCCTAGGAATGAACTGTAAAACATGGTAACTATAGCTAATAATACTGTATTGTATAATATATATATGTTGTACACCTAAGACTAATATAATGTTATATGTCGATTATATCTCAATTAAAAAAAAACAACAACAAAAATTAACTATAAAAAATGTAGTATGGCATCTTTTAAGAAGGAAGGGGCAGATTCCAGCTAAGGTGGAAGTGTAGGTAAACATGCTTCACCTCTGCACACAACTACAGCAAAAAATTACAATGAGAGTACAAAACATATTTCACCCAGATTTGTCAGAAAATCGAGCTGTAGGGCAGTCTGACAACTAAGGATTTAAAGGAGACACATTCATCCAGACAGGTCGGAGGGGTGGAGACTCGGTGGTGCAGAGAGGGAGCAGACCTGGTGGTCCCACATTCACATGTGGTGGATAAAAATTCGGAGGGATACCTCAGGAGCAAGCAATCCCACCCCCAGACCAGACCACCCAGCCCAGGGTTACAGCATGAGTAAGACAAATCCCCATAACTTCTGCCTTCAAAAACCAGTGGGGTTTGGGGCAGTGGAAGAAACTGTGGGATTCTCAAGAGACTTCTCTTAAAGGGCCCACAACAGACTTAAGACTCATGCAGACCCACCCTCTCTGGGATTCAGCACCACAGCAACAGCTGGAAGGGCAAAAGTAGCATATGCGGGAAAAGGGGAGAAAGTGAAGTGACCGGCAAGGGGGCAGAGGGGCAAGTGCCAGGGAGACGGCCTCCTCTCAGGCCAGGTAGCGGCACTGTCCCCTCTCTGAGCCCTCTGCCCACACAAAGGCACAGAATTGTGAAATGGGCTGCCCCGCCCTGGTGCCTTGCTGAAGGCCCCACACAATCTACAGGTGCCTTTTCTACAACAGGCCACGCTACTAAGACAGGAAGTCAGGGCAGCTCTACCTAACACACAGAAGCAAACACAGGGAGGCTGACTAATTGAGGAGACAAAGAAATATGGCTCAAATGGAAGAACAAAGCAAAACTCCAGGAAAAGAACTAAATGAAATGGGGATAACCAACCTATCTCATGCAGAGTTCAAAACACTGATTATCAGGATGCTCAAAGAAATCATTGGGTATTGCAACAGCATAGAAGAGACCCAGGCAGAAATAAAGACTGCATTACGTGAAATAAAAATCCACTGGGAACGAACAATGGAATAGATGAAGCTGAAATTCAAATCAACTATTTGGAAAACAAGGAAGAAAAAAGCATCCAATCAGAACAGCAAGAAAAAAAAAAGAATTAAAAAAAGAGAAGAAATAGCATAAGGAACCTTTGGGACATCTCCAAGTGTACCAACATCTGAATCATAAGGGTGCCGGAAGGAGAAGAGGAAGAGTAAAAAATTGAAAACTTACTTGAAAAAATAGTAAAAGAAAAACTTCCCTAATTTGGTGAAGTACATAGACATATAAGTCCAGGAAGCACAGAGACTCCCAAACAAGATGGACCCAAAGAGGACCACACCAAGACACATCATAATTAAAATACCAAAGGTTAAAGACAGAGAATCTTAAAAGCAGCAAGAGAAAAGCAGAGAGTTACTATAAAGGAGGTTCCATAAGACTGTCAGCAGATTTCTCAAAAGAAACTTTGCAGGCTACAAGGGATTGGCAAGAAGTATTCAAAGTGATAAAAAGCAAATACCTATAACCTAGATTATTCTACCCAGCAAAGCTATCATTTAGAATTGAAGGGCAGATAAAGTGCTTCCCAGACAAGGTAAAGCTAAAGGAGTTCATCATCACCAAGCCATTATCATATGAAATGTCAAAGAGAACTTTATAAGAAAAAGATCAAAACTATGAATATTAAATTATCAACAAATGCACAACTATCAACAATTGAATCTAAAAAACAAACTAAACAAATAAGCAGAACAGGAACAGAATCGTGGATACGGAGATCATCTGGAGTGTTACCAGTGGGGAGAGGAGAGGAGGAGAAGGGGGAAAAGGTGCAGGGATTACGCAGCACAAATTGGTAGTTACAGAACAGTCACAGGGATGTAAACAACAGCACAGGGAATATAGTTAATAACACTATAACGACTATGTATGCTGTCAGAAGGGTGTGAGACTTTTAAGGATGATCACTTACTAAGTTATACTATGTAAAGTCTAATCACTGGAATGTATACCTGAAACTAACATAATATTCAATGTCAACTATAATTGAAATTATTAAAGTTTTTCGCCCTGGCTGGCGTAGCTCAGTGGATTGAGCGCAGGCTGCGAACCAAAGTGCCGCAGGTTCGATTCCCAGTCAGGGTACATGCCTGGGTTGCAGGCCATGGCCCCCTGCAACTGCACATTGATGTTTCTCTCTCTCTCTCTTTCTCCCTCCCTTCCCTCTCTAATAAATAAAATCTTTTAAAAAATAAAGTTTTTAAAAGTGTACCACTGAATTGTCATCTAAGAACTAGTACCTCATATGGAGAAAAAAAAGTCCTTCATAAGGGACTTTTCAAGATAATTTCGAGTGGTTTCTTTTTAGACTTACTCTTTTAAGGAATAACATTTATTTTACATTAACTGTTTCAATAAAAATCTTTTACTAAATTAAATTCACCATACAATTCTTACATCTTCCCAAACAGGGTCACTGAACATAATTCAATCTTTTTGATGTCTCAGTTGCTGCTATAGTGTACACCACATGACTACACACAACAAAAACCATCTCAGAGCTAGTGTGACGTACTGAGCGGTTTGTTTCTGTGCCAGATGCTCTCAGTATTATGATTTTGAAGTTTCTGAATCTGCTTGTCATTTTCTACTTTTTTTTTCTTTTCTGTTTAGTACTTACAAATCTCACTGTACAAATCTCAAACATTCCCTAATGGCGCCCCCTTGAGCCTTCTCCATGTAACTTCTAAGTAATTCTCAGTGACAACTGAAAAGTTCCTAAGTAAATGAATAAACTCTGAGGAGTTTTGTTGTTAATTTTTTTTGCTAAGTTCTTGGTTTTATCACATTTTCAAAAACAGTACACAAGGGACAGTTGAAGACTTCCCAAGAGTCAATTTACAGATCACTTTCATATGTACTCTTTGTCAAAACAGGCCCTCTCCTCTTTGGGGGGGGGAGGGGGCAAGAAGAGGTAATACTCTCACTTCTATCTAGAATTTATAATGCATTGCCTGGAAGTGTAATAAACTCCAGGGATTCAAGATAAGGACAAGTGAAAAAAATATTATTTGGGGAAGCCTTCATAAATGATAATTGAGTTGTCGTAGACTATCTACTATAGGGCTTCTTCTCTCTTCCAGTCTTGTATATTTCTTTAAGAGTTAAAAATAGGACATTCTGGCCCATGCCAGGAAATTTTAATTCTGATACACTATAGTTCATGGGCAATTGAGAGCAGTTTCCTTTACAAACTCTGCCTCTTCCATCCCCACACACTCCACCTCCATGTGTACTGTCCAAGAATCCATCACACTTTGGAGAGAGACTGATAAGAACTAAAGATAACATTGCTAAGAAATATCTAATGATAGAACTAGATTTTTTCAAGTATTTAAATATAAGTCATTCTCCTATATTTCTCAAAACTCATTCCTTGATTATTAGCTTGAGAAAAAGCACATTTAAAGAGCTGAAACAGTATCAATTAAAGAGGCTGATTTTTTTTTACATAGAAATATTTTCAAGGACTACCACATTATTCAAGTTATGCTCCATAAAAGCAACAAACAGCCCTGGCCAGGTGGCGCAGTTGGTTGGCGCATCCCCTGCAGACCAAAAGGCTGCGGGTTTGATCCCTGGTCAGGGCACATACCTAGGTTGCCGGCTGGATCCCCAGTTGGGGCTTGTACAGGAGGCAATCTATTGATTTTTTTCTGTCTTCCATTGATGTTTCTCTCTAAAATCAATAAATGTATCCCCAAGTGATGACTAAAATTATTAAAAACCTGCAGACAGAACTGTATATGAACTACTATATTTTATACTGTGGTAGTTAAAACTTATTTTGTAAAATTGTATCATGGAAGTTTTATTCTAATTAGTCAATTCTCATTACATCTTTTAAACAATTTAGTGTTTCTACCTCCTATTACAAAATCACAGTTAGCTCTAAGACCAATTCATTTTTAACAACAGGTATAACTTCTCCATTAATTACCCTAAAACAAAGTTACTTATTAATGGAGTTATTTCTGAATCATTCCCTTTAATTTATACCTAAAATCTGAGTATCAGAGATCAGAAGATGTAAGCACACACATTTAGAAAAGGAATAACACACTTTTTCATATCCCTCACTTCATAACAATGATGTGATACAACATAAGCAGCATAGTTGTTTTTTAAATTATTAAAATGGATAAATGAATTCTATTTGACCCATGTTATTTTCATCTCAATTACCTTAATAGTACCTTTTAGTATGCATCCTATAATTTATTTCTTAGTGGTTTTTATATTATTTAAAATGTGTATTAACTGTCCTGGCCAGTGTGGCTCAGTTGGTTGGAGCATCACCCCGTAAACCAAAAGGCTGTGGGTGTGACTCCTGGGCAGGGCACGTGCTTGGGTTTCAGGTTCAGTCATGAGAGAGGCAACCAGTTAATGCCTGTCTCTCATATCAGTGTTTTCTCTTTCTCTCTCCCCTTGTCACTCTCTCTAAAGTCAATAAGCATGTCCTCAGGTGAAGTTTTTTTTTAATGTATATTAACCTATTTATCTGAACTTAAAAGAAGATGACATTTTAGGATAAAAAATAAGTTTGATACAGCTGGTTGATTTGACAATGGAAACTAGCTTCATTAATCAAGAGGTACTTCCCATAAATCAAATAAGCTAACCCTTCAACCTGAAACTTTCGACTAAAATGTATTTATATGCATAATAAGATAAAATCATTTTATGATAAAAATTACATTGGCAAAGGTGGACTGAAACTAATATTTTTATTTTTCAACCACTTCTGAGTATATCAGATTAAAGAAAGTACCTACAGGGGAAGAGGGGGACGCAATACAATTAGACACTTGATAAGTCTTGGTAAAGCCTTTTGATACACTTCCTAGAAACTAAAAAAAATTAATGGTTAAGTACCAGGTATCAAATCCTTTGGCAAAGTTAGGCAGTTCACAATCTTTTGCTTTCAACAAAGTTGAAGGAGGACCTAATAGACATGTCAACTGATGTATGCTTGATAATAAATCACAAAGTGATTTCTGGCATATAACTTGGAAGATTTTGCTATCACAAAATTTCCATTAGAAAAAACTTATTTATATGACCATTTATTTCTTAGCACTTAAACCTACAAAATCTTAAAATAAGAGCAGAAATTGGTGCCAAATCCTACTTCATTCTATCAATAATTAACATGTATCTCCAGGTACAAGAACGACTGGAGGGAGAAAGAAGACAGCACCATTCATTTTATTTTAAAATATGGATTTCTGTTGGGCCCTGGCCCGGCGATCCAGTTGGTGAGAGCATCACCCAGACACGCCAAGGCTGCAGTTTCCACTTCCAGTCAGGGCACACACAGAAAGTAGCTAGTGAATGCTCAAATATGTGGAACAACAAATCGATGTTCTTCTCTTTAGCCTTCTCTCTCTCTCCCCTCTAAATCAATAAATAAAAATAAATAAAAAGGGATTTCTACTGAGTAATTATTACATGCAAAGTGAATTTTAATTAAAATTTTCATACATGTACATTATTCAAATCAACTGTGTGCTAACTGTAATAACTCAAATCAGAAGGTATTTTTAATACTTAGAGCATCACAGTCACAAGAAAAACATTTCTAATATATATAAGTATATATATAATTGTAGGAAAAAAGCTTGATAGCTGTTCAATAGAAGACTTTCAAGCATAAAAATACATAACATTAACATAGAAATACAAAGGGAGTAACAGAATAAGTTCATAGGGAAAACAATTAAGTTTCCAACCATTTGTTTTATATTTTTAATAATGGCACTCAGATTTCCTTGGATAAATTTTAAATAGTGATGTATTTTATTGAAATACAACATGCAGAAAATTCTCTCCTTTGTCACTTTTGCTGAAAAACTGTAGTTGTCAATTTAAATATGTGCAAAGAGATACACAATTTTTCAAAATTGTTTTGAAGACATATAAAAATCTCAATACTGTCCTAGACAAAGTTACAGTAAGGGTCATCCAGATAACTGAAGACTATTAGCAGAGTAGCAAAAACATAACATGCAAGTGTCAGTCTTCCTCAAAAGGATGACAGCCACAAGGGCATACATTTTTTTCCTGGGTATTCCTAACTTGAGTGCTACAAATAGTATATAGCGGGTCTTAAGAATTGTTTATCATGTCGGGGGGAATGGACGATTGAAATGAATGAATGGTGAATACGTAAGTGTCAAAGTATTATTTGACCCTGATTGGTGTGGCTCAGTGGATTTAGTGTGGTCAGCCCACAAACCGAAAGGTCAGTGGTGTCAGGGCACATGCTTAGGCTGTAGGCCAGGTCCCTGGTTGGGGGCACATGAGAGAATGTACGTTTCTCTCAAACATCAACGTTTCTCTCCCTCCCTTCACCTCTCTCTAAACAAGTCAGTAAAACCAAAAAAAGTACTGGAGGAAAGCATGGCATAATTCAAAGTATATTATTTGATAATGGAAAATTATAAACTAATTTCTACTAGAAATTAAATACACAGCATTGAAACGTAGCTAGACACTAAGACTCTTAAATTATTAAAGTGTTAGCATAAAATCTTTTTTTTTTAATTTTTATATATTTTGCCCTGGCTGGCATAGCTCAGTGGATTGAGCGCAGGCTGCGAATCAGGCATCGCAGGTTCGATTCCCAGTCAGGGCACGTGCCTAGGTTGCAGGCCATGACCCCCAGCAATCACACATTGGTGTGTGTGTGTGTGTGTGTGTGTGTGTGTGTGTGTGTGTGTCTCCTTCCCTTCCCTCTCTAAAAAAAAAATTAATAAATAAAATCTTTTTTAAAAAAAGCAAAACTATGTAGTTTAAAAAAAATTTATATATTTTTAGACAGAGGGAAAGGGAAGGAGAAAGAGGGAGAGGGACATCAATGTGGGGTTGTCTCTGATGCGCCCCCACTGAGGACCTGGCCTGCAACCCAGGCATGTGCCCTGACTGGGAATCAAACAGGTAACTCTCTGGTTCGCAGCCCAGCACTCAATCCACTGAGCCACACCTGCCAGGGCAGAAATCTTGATTTATATTTTCGAGAGATACAACTAATAACTAAACGGAAATAAGAGTTTGCCAGAAGAAGGAGGCAAATTTCAAATCACATGCCCATCTTAGCTATAAATAAAACTTTAATAAGTATAGTTAGGATTCAAAGTCTTCAGTAAAGCCAAAATATCATACCATTAAAACGTATTTCAAAAATACTAAATCTTCCATCAGACATTAAATTCTTTTGTGAGTCGGTCAGTGTTTTTCTAAGACCCGCAGTAATTCAGTAATTCGAATTTTCTCCTCAAAGATGGAGAAAAGCCATCAACACCTCTGCCTGAACTGTTGGTTTTTACTTCTCACATCAAGGTAAGTGTGAGTCTTGCATCTTCCTACTCGCTCTGCACACAGGTATTGACTTATTAAGTGGTGACTGTATCTACTGCCTGTGCACAACTTTAAGTTAATTGGTGGGCTTAAACTGTGTCCTAGAATTAATGTAAATTAAATACACCTAGGTAACTCACTGCAGTGTTAATTTGATATGAGGCTTAAAGCATTAAATATTTTTATAGTTTGATATATAATAGGCATATAATAAACTACATATATTGAAATATACAATTTTATAAAAAGTGACATATATACAAATTTCCTTTTGAAAATTTGGGAGTGGTCCCCTTCTTCTGCCAAAAAGTTAAATATGATTTTTGTTATCTGAGAAAAATACTTACCTTCATGTAGTTCACAATCTTAGCAAGAACGCCAAACTTGTATCCAGAGCTCCCTGATAGAGCTTTCAAGTTAAATGATCCATTGCTGTGCTCTGAAAATAAAATTTAAAAAATGGTAACATTTTCATATTAGATATGATTATGACTTTTAAGTAGCTAAGAGGATTTTTAACTCTGGTAAAGATTTTTGTTTGAGCTTTTCTATCCAGTGAATTCTATCTTGTAAAATTTGGTGAAAAATTCAAAATCTTTGTGTGTGCAATAAACTATCCATGGTCTCACTAAGGACAGGAACAAAGTATAAATAATTCAAAAGCATTAAAATACACTTCTTGCCATGGCTGGTGTGGCTCAGTGGATAGAGCGCCAGCCTGTGAACTGAAAGGTCTGATTCCCAGTCAGGGCACAAGAGCCTGGGTTGTGGGCCAGGTCCCCAGTTGGGGTCATGCAAGAGGCGGCCAATTGATGTTTCTCTCACACATTGCTGCTTCTCTCCTCTTTCTTTCTCCCTTCCCCGCTAAAAGAAAACAAATAAAATGTTTTGAAAAATTTTACATACATTTATTTTATAAGTACCTTTTTTTCACTCTTAATTCTGATTAGATTTCCCCCATAATTAGAAGCAAGGCTTTTAAAACAAGAACACAATACAAATCTCAATCTGATCAACAGTGCTTTTCTAACACACTTAAAACCATGAGAAGAGAATGGATTGCTTCTGAAGGATAAAACTTCCAGCATCACTTATTACATCAATTTATGCTCATCATGTTTAAAGATTCCATGTTAATTCAGAGAATAGAAAGGATGATACTATAAACTTTAGATAAATTAGGAATAAGAAATATAGGTACTGCCACTGCACAAACATGGATGCTTAGAAAGAGTTATGGCACCAGGCGAGAGGCAATCTGTACAAGGATTGTTTGCTTCAGAACATCTATCGTTTGTTGCATTCTTACAGGCACAAATCCTAATGCTACCCTGCATCACAAATGCACTCCATGAGTCAGGCAAGAACCGGTAAAAAAATTTCCAAATAAATACTAGGAAAACATTCCAGAGGTACAATACATATTCATTAGCAAGGCATCAGATCAGAAATTATAAAGTTCCCATGTGGCTGGTACACAAGAGATGAGGTTAAATAGAACAGGGGAGAGTCAATGTCTGGCACCAGCTTGGTAACAATAATTGAAGCAAAATAATGCATTAGAACAACCTCAAGTCAAATGTAACAACTGTCAGAGATCCAAAAGAACAGCTTCTAGAAGGCAATACTCCTTTGAGATTAGTTAGTGAAAAGGCTTTATTAAATATGCTTTTTTGAGACTAAAATGAGACTTCATATGCAATTTTCCTCTAAAAATAACTTACAATTTTGATAGCTTACTTGACACATTAAAGTCCATTTTATTAATGGCTCCCAAAATAGTACTTACAATGCCTTTATAGGTGTACTTTCACATTCACTTTTCAATCATGAAATCCTACCTACCTACACGGTTTGTTTTTAGATGTTTGGGGCCCTTATAATGTAACAATAACTAACCTTTTCTGAACACTTACTGTTTGCCAAGAGCCATGCCAAATGATTTTCTTATTTAATCCCTCCCAGAAATCCTATTTAGGAGATACTACTGTGGACTTTTAAACAACAAAAAAAAATAAGTAGTAAGCAGCAGAGTACAGATTCAAATCCAGTTGGTCCTTGTGATAATGCCTTGTAAAGAGTAATTAGCCAGCCTTTAACACAGGCTATGCCATCTGAAACTGGTCTTTTTTTTCCAGAGTATCAATCGATATTTATAAATGCACATCTAATGCTCTCTTAACTTTATAGTAAAGTAATATTAAGTTTATGCTGTATAAATAACTGGGAAGACTAAAAAACAAATGACAAGTATGTTAAAAATAAGCACCAAATGGTCAATCAAGATCCACATACAGTGTTGTTTACCACGGGCTTTCTAACATTTAACTCAATGCCAGACATAGTAAACACTCAATGCTTGTTTTAATGGAGGGGAGGGGAGGGGAAAGGGAATGGAAACAGGAATGGGAATAAGAATGAACAGTATTTCCAGGTGCCCTTTCATGGCCCCAGAAACTAATGTGCTGATTTATCTATGATTAAAATAAGTCTATACAGCAAACATTTACACAGCCTACTATTGTTATTATTGCTACTCCCATAATTAAGAACTTTGATCCTGTTATGCTTAGACCACAACTTTAAATAATACACCATAAATAAGAAAACATTCTATCTTAAACATCCAACTGAGAATTCTTTTGCCATTTAAGTTTCACAAAATGCTGCCCTGCCAGTGTGGCTCACTTGGCTGGAGCACTGTCCTGTGAACCAAAAGGTCACAGGACAATTCCCCATCAGGGAACATACTTAGGTAGTGGGTTTGGTCCCTGGTTGGGGTGTGTACCAGAGGCGAACAATCAATGTTTCTTCCCTCTCTCTCTCCATCCCTTCCCCTCTGAAATCAGTAAGTAGCCCTAGCTGGTGTGGCTCAGTGGAATGAGCACTGGCCTGAGAACCAAAGGGTTGCTAGTTCAATTCCCAGTAACAGCATGTGCCTGGGTTGCGGGCCAGGTGCCTGGTTGGGAGCCTGTGAGAGTCAACCATACACATCAGTTTCTCTCCCTCTCTTTCTCCCTCCTTTCCTCTCTCTAAAAATAAATAAATAAAACCTTGTGTCATTAATTTATTATACAGACTTTTTTAATGTAGGTGGTATGCTTACGACGCTCTCCCAACTATTAAAGCTGAAAATCTTATTTCTCTCTTTTCCCTCAGAATTTCTCCTGTATCAAACCACCACATGGAAATAACCACTTCCAGAAGCCAAGAGTTATATAAAACACAGAACTGAAGGAAAAGTGGAGAAAAGAAAGTTTCATTTATAAAATTGTATGCACTCTTGCTGGAAGAAATACAAAGCTGGTAAACCTGGCCTGTTTGTGTATTCTCTCAACATTGTTACCTTCTAGCCCTAGCACCAAAATATTCACTGAAGGTTCTGAAATTTTATAAACACCGAGGAAACACCAATTTGTTGCTAACTAACAAATCCTACGCAGGAATGTAGCTGAAGGACAAAATGTAAGGCAAGAAAAAAGGGTGACAGCTGATACCCCAGACAGCTCTATTCAAGTTTATGAATGATTTACTCTTAAGGGTGGCAGGACTTAATGCAAATGAGTGTAGAGGAGACTGTCAGCTGTGCTGCAGTTCAACCAATAGAAGCTCAGCTCCATCTTGGCTATGCACTAGACTGCATTACAATCAGACGATACCATCGCTTCAACAGCAGCCTTCCAGACAAGAGGTAGGTTTATATGTCTTTTTCATTTAGTAATACATGTCCTCATGATACAATATAAAAATATTTTACCATAAAAATCAAGCAGAAAGCTTTATTCCTACTAAAAACCAATAAAAGCAATGTATTCATTTAATTGCTTGGCAGGATTTTATTATGAAAATACGAAGACTGCCTGTGCTATTTGATAAGCACCCTTACCATCTGTGCCTTAATGGAAAATTCATGACATTGTCTTTAACTGGATCTATATCCAGACTGTAGAGTAAACCATAAGCATTTGATTTTAAGTGGTTACTTGCTAATTTCATTTTCTCCAAGCTATTTCATCTTAGCAGTTTGGTCTGTCTTAAACAAAGGATTTTTCTTAAAGAAAAACCTGGACTAAAAGCAAATCCTGGACTAAAGCTTTCTGATTATATGCATGCAAATTATATTGGCTGGTAAAAAGCAGACGCTTATAACAAAGTTTGTTGTATTTTAACAAATACCAGAAAATAGTTCAAAATTGTTTTTTTGATGTTGAGTGTAGACTCAGAGAATGCTGGGAAATTATCACAAATGTGATTTAACATAAAAATAAAATTATAAAGGTACCATTATGTAGGCTACATTATAATGTAACCAAAAACATTTATAGAGCTTCAGACTTTTCTAATATTTTAATTAAAATAATTCCTTACAGTAAAATCCTAAAGTCTATATTACTGTAATACATGTCATGCTATTATTAAATGAAAACCTTTTCAAAATAGCCTTTCATTTTTGTGTGTGCCACAAAAATATAAAATCACAGTAATTTTTATATGTTAAAGTTATTCTTAAATTGATCCTTAAAGTAAATACAGATTAAGCCTTTTTGATAAACTACACTTAAAAATAAAAATATGTCGTAAGAATTGGCTAAGGGAAGACAGTACATTACCTTTCAAGGTAATAAGATTACTCTCATGGCCCAGATTAACCGTGCATGTCTACTAAAAATTAGTAGCAAGTGCTGACCAAATTTCTAATTTTCTAATAGTCAAGCACAAAAATATCATTAGTAGATGCTAGAGCTCCAAAATATTACCTATACATGCTGCTCTAAAGATCCAAGTTCTGCCCTTTTCTTTGTTGATAAATCTATTTAAATCTTAAAGGATTTCTTTTCCCTAATTTTTATTTCTCCTATTTCTTAACCAGCATGCAGCTAATATGAGCCAGCGTCCCTTACAAAGACCAAAGGCTGCTGCTATAAGATATCAGATCTCTCCAGGTTCAGCACAATGGGGTTAGGTACCTAGAAAACATTCCTATTTGCTGTATGAAGTATGGGAGCCCAAAGAGACTCAGCCAAAATAAAAACAACTTTGTTAAATAGAACAAAGTTTCAAATTCACTTGTAACTCAAACTTCGGGTAAACTGTAAACCTAAACCCCTACCACCTACCTTGTTTTAAAACCATCATCAGCCTACATCTTGCTGGTAATACACCTATGGTCAGCACAGATGGAGGCTCGCTGCCATTTCACCCAACGGACGAGAGAGAGACATGGCCGACCTCCGAGTTCCAGGGCTGAGTGAGCTGCTCCACATTTAAAGTCGTTATGATTAGTTGATATTTCAAAATGATATGTATAAAGGCACTAGAAAATTCAATTCAAGAGTTTTTACCATCAATACATCAGAAGCGTAATTTTATTCTCATCTGGCAATTCAAGGTTCCAAAACATTTCCAGGTCTTATTCTCTAGGACTAAATACTTCACTAGGGCCTTTTGAAATGGGAGGGAAAAATAGGTGAAGTCACTGTTTCAAATATGACAAACTACAAAGTTATACAGTATTTACCTTAACACTTCCCCGTCCTGTAATGAAATTTTAAAGTGGCTCTGGGGGAATACAGAAAAGTACAGACTTTTTTTTTTTTTTACACCATTTTCTCTCACTTTTCATAGGGCATTTGCTTAATATAAATATATATTTAGCTTCAAAAATATACTCAGAACACAAAAAAATCCTAATGGTAAATATCTTTTTGCATGTCTAGATATGTCTAATCCAGCTAAGTAAATTTTAGACTGTACCCTAAATTTAACACAAAAAATTACTAGAGGTCTACTGTACTTTGAAAAAATAATTCACATAAAATATAAGGTGAAAAATGATTCCATATTATAAGGGTTTACTATTTTCAGATATGCCCAGAAGCCGACTAAAGAGCAGATGTTTTGAGCTGCTCGTCAGTTATCAATACACCCGGAAGAGGCAAACTGTCATCATTTATAGCATAAACCTGATATGTATAAACACTCTCTCCTAAGCTTCTCAGATGCTTCTAGAAGACCTTACCAATGCCCTGGGAGATGGCACACACTGCAATCCACTGTCATCACTGAGAGCATTACTATAAGCATATTTGTGTGTGGATAAAGTACAAGTCAAATCAAAATGACAGTGTTTCATAATCCTAATTTTAATTTTTTAGAATCCAGAACACTGAATAAATGTATTAAATAGATATATAACAGTAGATTTCTAGAAGCCAAAGACGAGGAATACTTTTAAAATACATTACTTTGGGTTTTGAATAAGTAATATGTTCACGCACACCCCTGTCTCCCAAATCTACTCTCCATCCAACCCCACAACTAATCATTATTAATTTTTTGTATATCTGATATTTTTGTGCGGATAAAAGTACATAAAAATATGTATTATTTCCCTCCTTTCCTACACAAACTGTCCTGGCACCTTGCTCTTTTCACTTCACAACATATCCTAAAAATCTTCCCATATCACCACACAATTACTGCATGTATAATATTCAATTATGTGGATATTCTATATTAATGTTAACCAGAAGAATCGTTCACTGATGATGGGCACGTGTTAACTTCACATCATTAAATTTAGTTCTGTGTCTGTCTACCTATCTTCACTTTCTCCCCTTCCCTTCCACTCTTCCTCTATTTTTTCCAAGGTGAGGAGACCTGAAAAATATTTAAGCAATTCAATTATACCTCAAAAATAAACAGAAAAAGTTGTTCTTTAAATGACCTTTCTAATAATTTTTAAATTTCATTTTGAAATAGTAACTTACATTAGTTTTTAGAACTTCTCCCCACTTTTAAAGTCAATACAAATAAAAAAGGCCTACTACTCACAATGAATTAAAACGCAAAGTAATAACTTCAGTATAATTTCAACCTGGTAGGAGTTAATAGATTTATATAACCAATTTCTAGGAGAAAAGAAAAAATTAAAAGCTGCATATGTTAGAGAGACAGAATTTCAGATAACACTTTTAATTTTTATTTAAAATTGCTGTCTCTGAAATCAACAGTAAACACTTCGACAAAGCTACTTACTTAGTAAGGGGTACTAAACTAATCTGAGGGGCATATTGTGGAAACTGCTTCTCTCTCCTCTCGCTCTCTCCCCAGCACCGTTTCCCCTGCGGTCACTTCCAATGCCAAATGTAGAAGAGACCCTCAAACTTTTTTTTCCCATATTTTAAAAAGGAATCAACTTGAAAGGCTTTAACCGAAAGTCTAAGGAATATTTCCATCAATGCTCCTAGGTTAGTCCAAGTAAAATGATTAGATGGACCCTCACGCAACTCTCCCCACTCTTTACCTACCCACATTATGTGGCACTGTCCCCACTTTCCCCAAGGTCCCACTCTCCTTTCTCTCCCTGTCTTCTATTAGCTCTGCTTTTCAAAAAGGACCTGAAACTTACTCACTATGAAGTAAAAATAACTGTAACTATGTATGTCACCTCTCTTAGGAGTATATACATTTTAGTAGTGCTTAACATCTTAAAGGAGTTCCAAAGCTGAACTTGGGGGCGGGGGGGGGGGGGGTGTATGAATGAGTGTGTGTGCATGAACACAGGACACTATTAGGAAGGCCGAGTCAAAAAGGACTTGACTTTTGTCTCCATGTGATTTTCATTTCTATGAGTTACTTGACTATTTGCGTCCATGGTGATTAGAATCAGAGGCAGCAACAATGCAGAGGATAGAGGTGTAGTCTATCAGAGCATCCACATTACACAACTCTATGTGAATGGCACCCACAACACAGTATGACTGGTGCTCCCTGAAGCTGTACAACCTAGCAGCCTTGCTTTCTATCAGAACATGCTCAGAAGAGAAAAAGTGGAAGGGTAAAAGAGGGTAACTTTGAAAGGCTGGGTCTACACAGTTTGAAAATTAATGTGCTGTAACACATACCTGTGTTACAGCCAATGGATTTTTTTATGTCTCAGAACTAACAGAAGCAATTGATTCAGTTATTGTCCATTGGTCTGCTATCCCTCATTTCAAGATGAAGGGTCTCACCAAGCACCAAAAAACTGAAGAATTCTTAAATCCAAAAGGAAAAAAAATAAATTTGAGCCTTTGCTTTTGGGCTCAGATCATCAATTTTACCTTCAAAATACATGAATGAAGAAAAGAAGGAACCAAGTCCATCCAGAGAGCTGAAGTGGTTTACCAAGCAAATCTGATTTTAAAAAGAAAACAAAAACCTTAAAAAAATCAATTTATCAACCCCAAAGTTTTAAAATTTTATCTATAAAGAAAAAGAAATCTAAAGGAATTATATTGTATGGCTTTGGTTTTTAAGTCACTTTTTAGTCTTTTTAATGTGAAAATAGTATTGTGGTTATGTCCAAAAACACAGTCCTCACCTTTTAAGATATACTGAATATTCCTAGAAGAAATAATATAATGTCTGGGATTTGCTTCAAAAGAATCAGTGCAGCACTGGGCAGAGCTATACAAACTGGCCAGGAGTTCATGAATGAGGCTGCAGTGTGAGCACACGCGGGTTTTCATCACACTCGTCTACTCCTGCACTTCCTCGAAGCCTTCTTTAAATAAAACATACTCTCACAGACATGTTATCTCCAGCACTTAGGAAAGTATTTGGTACATAGCAGATAATCAATAAACCTTTGATTAGAAGAATTTAAAACAATTTACAACTACACAGAGGGGAAAAGCATACAAAATAAGTCATTTCTCTCATCAAAAAAGCAACAAACTGAAAATGCCATTGAAGAACTGGGATATTTTTTCTATTTCAAAAATTGTCTTACTTTATAGGTATTTTCTAAGGTTTAAAAATAAGCTAAAAGATATGTTTGAAAGATCAAGAAAATAAAAATTCATTTATTATCTGTAATCCTTACCATCCCATTTAAGGCCTAACAAGTATCAGGTCAAGAAGTGCAGAAGTTAATGCAAGAATACTAAAACTTGAACTCACTGGCTAATTTTATGAAATGGAATAATAATTTTAAAAATAGTAACTTTGGGGTACTGAACTTGCCTGATGTTTAAAATATTCACATTTACAGGTCATTCAGGTATATGAATCACTTAGACTATCATATACATAAAAAAAAATCCTAAGATTATGGTCTCTTCACAGGCAACTTAATTTGACTTTCTCTACTATTTTTCCACCCAGCCACTATTTCCCGATTCAGGTCCCAGAACGTGAAGTTTAAAGGAGCGGAACTAGGAGCCAAAAATACACTGAACCAAGAAGGTGAGATGATGCACAAGGGCATTTTGAAAACATGACCTTAAAATGCTAAGATTCTTGTAGATAATACCTCACTGAGAACTCCTTTACTCAAATTTTAAACCAATTCAGCTGCTTTCCCCCTTCCATTAGCAGTTAGTTTCTGTGTAAGAATCTTAAACATACACATTTGTCTAACAAATGATATACACAAAACTATATGGTATGGTTTAACATAGTACATTTGCATAGATATAGAAAAAACACATTTAATACCATTAATGTGTTTTTAAATTAATTTAAAAAATTAATAATATTCAGGCACTAACTCTGGCAGACAATAAGGAAGACTCAAGTTGCTAACAAATCTTAGCACTGAGATTTGAATTGACAAATCTATAAAGTCTGATTACATATATCCACTTTTTACCTTTTCATAGATTCAAAAGAGTAATACAAGAAGTGAAATCTCTAAGAATGGCCTCCCTGAGCTCCAGCCTCTGGAATGAAACCACTACATCTGTTTATCAGTATCTTGGTTTTCAAGTTCAAAAAATTTACCCTTTCCATGATAACTGGAACACTGCCTGCTTTGTCATTCTGCTTTTATTTATATTTACAGTGGTATCTTTAGTGGTGCTGGCTTTCCTTTACGAAGTCCTTGACTGCTGCTGCTGTGTAAAAAACAAAACTGTGAAAGATTTGAAAAATGAACCTAACCCTCTTAGAAGTATGATGGACAACATCAGAAAACGTGAAACTGAAGTGGTCTAGTGCTCTGCATAAGATCAACAAAATCTATGAAGACTGCCTTTAACTTTTGAGAAAAAAAAATTTTCTCAGGCCAACTGTTATTATAAAATTGACTGACTTTGAATGATTAAAAGATTTCTACTAGAAAGGAAAATCAAGTTAAATACGTACTTTTTGTGTGTGTATCCCTTTCATTAAATATACAGTAAAACTTCACAAATGTGAATAATTTACCAATCTCTTTAAAATGACACTTCAAAAACTAGATAAAAGATTCCTAGAACTCAGTCCTGACCAGTGTGGCTCAGCTGGTTGGAGCATCGCCCTACAACCAAACAGTTGTGGACTCGGTTCCCAGTCAGCGTACATGCCTCAGTTGCAGGTTCTATCCCTGGTCCAGGAGCATACCAGAGGCAACCAGCATCAATGTTTGCTTATCACTCTTTCTCCCTACCTCTCTCCCTAAAAACAATGAAAAACAAATGTCCTCTGGTGGGGGTGAAAAAAAAATTTAAAAATTAAAAGATTCCTAGAATTCAATATTAAGCAGCAAAAGGTAAGCTGGAAAACATACGAAAGACTAATGATGCCAAAATAACTTATAAGTAAACAAATCATGTGGACTAAAAAAGAGTTACACTATATCTACATGTGTTTTGGCAATAAAAATGCTATTTAAAATGCTTCTCAAAATCCAAAGTAAAATACTTCCACTTAAATATTAAAATCCCTACTTATTGAAAAACATTATTTTCTAGTTTGTCGAAGACAACTTGTACATTTTTAATGATTTAAGTTTTGTAGGGTTACTGTGAAAAGTCTCAAATACTCAGAAAAGTCACAAGTATACTTGCATAAAATTTTCATTAACTGGACTAACTGTTGAAATACATGGTATTCAAACTAGTACACCCCCTAAATTACATTTCTTGGGCTTGTGCTTTCATTTTGCTTCTCACATTCATACTCTGAAGGGCTAAGATACCTCATATAGAAGAGACTGCAAAAAAAAAAAAAAGTCAAAGGATAGGACCACTCAACACCTGTTAAGAAATATGGCAGTTTCATTTCTTAGAATTCCAAGGGCTATACAGATATTACACTTTCTAACCCTAATACTATTTTGCTACCACCCATGAGCAAACCAAAGCATGCTCTTAACCACTACACTGTTTCTGGTTATGCTCTTAACCACTATTGCTGACCTGCCCTTAGGCCAGAAATGTCACTCCTGAAAATTTATTGAGACATTAATTCAAAAGAAGAAAAAAGCCCAAAATACAAAGATGTTTATAATAGCATTACTAAAAATAAAAAATTGGAAACAACAGCTTTAAATGTGACACCTCAACTTAACAGATAAGAAGCTAATGAAAAATGACAAAATAGAAAATATTTGATATGTGAAGTGAAAAATAAGTATTTTCAATTTAGAGAACCCTAATTGCCAATCTGAAGTTTTTCCACAAAATATTTTTTATATTTTCTTCTAAAATTCGAAACAAGCACAAGTAACGTAACCAACTTTTAAAGGACTTATGAAACCTAGGTATTCAAGATACTCTGGTAACCAGGAACTATTCTGAGCACTGTTAAAACCACATTTTTGCCTTGGCTGGTGTGGCTCAGTGGATTGAGTGTGGGCCTTTGAGACGGAGGGTTAAGGGTTTGATTCCCAACAGGGCACATACCTGGGTTATAGGCCAGGTTTTCAGTGGGGGACACATGAGAGGCAACCACACATTGAGGTTTCTCTCTCTTTCTCTCTCCCTCCCCTTATCTCTAGAAATGAATAAATAAAATCTTTTAAAAAAAATTTCCTAAACAGTAAACTTTGGGGTCTTTGCCATAGATGGAAAGCATATAGATTCTCTGATAACTAGATTACCTGATAATGTACACTATCAACTTTTCCCTACTGTATCCTTAATTTATTTAGAAGCTCTAATGACAAATTAGTGAGTGCTTCTATGTGTGAGGGATTACATTACAATTACAAACAAGTAATCATGCAATTAAAATAGTACACAGTAGCTTTGTCAGAAATAGGGAGCACTACCTTTTGGCGTCTCTCATAGTGTTTTAAGTAAATTTACGATTTTGTGTTGAGCTGCATTCACAGCCATCCTGGGTTGCCTGCAGCCCACAGGCCACAGGTTGGACACCCCTGGGGCAAGAACTCAATTAAAATTGAAAAGTGGAAATAATATGACTTTTAGGCTGAAACCTAAGAGAGCAGGAGTTAGCCAAAGGGAAGAGGGAAGTAGGTAAGAAAGAATGTTCCAGAAAGAGGAAATATTATGAGCAAAGGCAGAGTAAAGCATGTTAGAGGAGTTACAAGTCAGTATCACTAGACTATAGGGCAAGGAAACAGGGAGGAGGCATAAAAGTAAGTGCAGACTAGATCAGGTAGGGCTTGGAAGCTACAGGAAGAGATGGACTTGATCTGAAAAGCAGTGAGATGTCATCAGACTTATGAATAGAAGAATCACTGACTACTACACAGAGAATGGGAGCTAAACCAGGAGCCCTGGTAAGCACCTAGCGGTGCTATCCAATGACAGCAAACCAAATTAGGGTCATAAGGTAAGTCTTCAGCATTTATACCCAATATACATGCAGCTCTCCTCTTTCTGAGCACATGGAACCACTTGTGGCTCGGTACAGCCTTACGGCCAGTAAGTCATGAGAGGAAGTAATGTGTGTGTCACCTCTGGGCCAGAGCATTTAACTGCCAGACAAGATCTTCCAGAGTTTCCTATCCCTTTAGCACTGAAGCCAACATTTGAAAAATCACCACTCTGTCAGCCCAGGTCCTTGAGTGACTGTAATAAGTTTAGACCCCTGCCAATGGATAAACGTGTGGAAAAAAAGAGGAAAAAAAAAAACCTTTGTTGTTTTAAGCCATTGAGATTTTGGAGCAAACAGATGAGGTCTTAAAGTGGGGCTCTACTAATGTTTAAAACAGTTCCTAAAATTCCGTTTCCCATAAATCATAATTCAAAGTTTCATTGAAATAAGAGCTGATCAATCCTAACGCATGTGCTAATAGGAATGATAGGCCTACTTTGATGAAAAGGATAGCTAACATCATACATAATGGTGAAAGACTGAATGCTTTTCCTGTAAGATCAGAAACAAGGCAAAGATGTCCCGTCTCACTACTTCTATTCAACATACTTGCCAGTCCAGACAAGAAAAAAATACAAGGCATTCATGTGAGAAAGAATGAAAGAAAACTGTCTTTATTCACTGATGACATAATCTTGTACATACTGGGTTGGCCAAAAAAGTTCGTTTAGTTTTTTCTGTAAAATAAAAGTCACATTTTTCGTTTTCATCAATGACTTTATTGATTTGGATATCTGAGTAGGTTGGCTATCTCCCACTATTGCCTTCCAGTAGGTAGAGACCAGGGGTGCTGCTAAATATCTTCCAATGCATAAGACAGCCCCACAGCAAAGAATTACTTGGCCAGAATGTCAACAGTACCAAGAAACTCTGCAAACTACTTCTGACACATTTGATCAGTCACAGCAGCTTCACCATACACTGCATGTTTTTTTTTTCATTTCAGTTGCATTTTTACCTTTCTTGAAATAAGGCATACTTCACCAAAAATGTTGTGTATCTTCTTTCATCTTCAATATTAAAATGACTGCACAAAAACTCACTAATTTTGATATTTTTTAAATGCATGCTGATAATGATAGCTGTCACAATCTAATAAAATTTTTATTATTTTATTGTTGTTCAAGTACTGTTGTCTGCATTTACCCCCCACCACAGCCATCCCCACCTCCCTCCACCCTCCCTTGGTTTTGTCCACGTGTCCTTTATAGTTGTCCCTCAAAACCCTTCCCCCTTCCCCCCCATTACCCCTCCCACCTCCCCTCTGGTTACTGTGAGTTTGTTCTTAATTTCAATGTCTCTGGTTATATTTTGCTTGCTTGTTGTTTTGTCAATTAGGTTCCACTTACAGGTGAGATCATATGGTATTTGTCTTTTACCATCTGACTTACCTCACTTAGCAAAATGCTCTCCTGTTCCATCCATGCTGTCACAAAGGGTAGGAGATCCTTCTTTCTTTCTGCCGTGTAGTATTTCATCATGTAAATGTACCATAATTTTTTGATACATTCATTTACTGATGGGTGCTCAGGATGCTTCCAGCACTTGGCTATTATGAATTGTGCTGCTATGAACATTGGGGTGCATAGGTTCTTATGGATTGATGTTTCAGGGTTCTTAGGATATAATCCCAGCAGTGGAATTGCCGAGTACAAAATTGTTTTGAATAAAATTAAAGACAACTAGGCACTACTAGAGTCATCATACAAAAAAAAAACAATGAATTTTTTGGCCAACCCAATAGAAAATCCTAAGGAATCCACACAAAATCTAGAAATAATAAACGAGTTTAGCAAAGTTGCAGAATACAAGATCAACAGACAAGAATCTTGTATTTTCATGTACCAGGAATGAATATTTCAAAAATCAAATTAAGAATAAAATTCTTGACAACAGTATCAAAAATAAAATACTTAGGAATAAATTTAATAAAATAAATGTAAGATTTATACATTAAAAACCTGAACACATGGAAAGATATTCCTGTTCATCAATTCCAAGACTTAATGTTGTTAAGATAGCCATTCTCCCCAAATTGATGTAGAGAGTCAATGCAATACCTATCAAAATCAGAGCTGGCTCTTTTACCCATGTGAACTGATGAGCTGATTCTAAAATGTACATGGATTTTGAAAAAGAACAAAACTGTAGGATTTAAACTTGCTAATTTCAAATCTGTACTACAATGTACAGTTATCATAAGAATGTGGTACTGTCACAAGGATGGGCACATGAGTCAACAGAGCCGCACTGAGATGCCAGAAATAAACTCATTTATAGTCAACTTCTAGTCAGTAAGGGTGCGACCAAGACAAGTTAATGGGGAAGACAGTCATCCCAAGAAATGGTACAGGGACAACTGAATAACCACAAGCAAAGTGATGAATTTATTAGACCCTTATGCTAAACCAAAACATCAACTCAAACTTATCATAAAGCTAATGCAAGAGTTAAAACTACAAACTCTTGGAAAAAAAACATAGTAAATTTTTATGACCTTGGGTCAGGCAAAGATTTCTTAGATAAAACACCAAGAGCACAGTGATACTGGATAAATTGTATCTGAACATATAAAGAACTCTTACAAATCAACGGGAAGAAGACAGCCTGATATTTTTTAAGTGGGCAAAAAATGTGAACAGATATTTCACCAAAGACATATGAATGGTAAATAAGCACGGGAATGACATCTAACATTGTTAATTATTAGGGAACTGCATATTAAAACCAAAATACCACTTCACATCCACTAGAATGGCTATGATCAGAAAGACAGGAATAACAAGTCTTGGCAAGAATAAGGAAAACGGAACCTTCATGCATTGATGATAAGAATGTAAAATGGTATGGACATTTTGGTAGTTTCTTAAAAAGTTAAACATAAATTTACCATATGATCCAGAAAATCTACTCTTAGGTCTCTTTACAAGAGAAAAAAAAAAAAAAAAAAAGATGTCCACACTCAGACTTGCACAGGAATGTTCAAAGCAGCATCATTTATAATAGATAAAAGTGGAAGGAATACAAACATCTATTAACTGGTGAATAGATAAATTGTGGTGTATCCATACAATGGAATACTTTTCAGTAATAAAATGGAATGAAGTACCGATGCATGCTACGAAGCGAATAAATCCTGGACAACATATAGCAAAATGAATCCCACAACAACAACAAAAAGGGTTATATACCATGACCAAGAAGATTTTATTCCAAGAATACAAAGTTGGTTTAACATCTGAAAGTCAACTAATATACTGTGTTATTAGAACAAAGAACAACATGATCATATCAACAGATGCTAAGTAAAAAAGAAGTCACACACTAAAGACCACATATTATCCAATTCTACTTATATGAAATGTCCAGAAAAGGCAAATACACAGAGACAGAAAGTAGACGATTGGTTATTTGAGGCTGGAGTGCGGAAAAAGGAGCTACTACAAATGGGTACCAGGCATCTTTTGAAGGTGACAAAAATGTTCTGAAACTGGATTGTGCTAATTAGCTGCACAATCATAAATTTACTAGAAGTCTTTTCGTTGTACACCTAAAAAAACAAGAGTGAACTTCATGGTATAGAAAGGAAACCTCAATTAAGTTATTTTTTAAAAGATAATAACCTAAATTCTAATTACAATACAAGACTATGAACATCTTAGGAGCAAAAAGTTCTCTCATCAGCTCTGACTGGTGTGGCTCAGTGGATTGAGTGACCGCCTGCAAACCAAAGGGTCACCAGTTCAATTTCCACATATCTGGATTGTGGGCCAGGTCCCCCGCAGGGGGCGCACAAGAGGCAACCACACACTGATGTTTCTCTCCCTCTCTTTATCCCTTCCTTCACCTCTCTCTAAAAATAAATGAATAAAATATTTTTTAAAAAATTCTCTCATCAGTTCATCCTTTATACTTCAAATACCCAATCAATATGAATGTTGAACTGAAAAATGAACTTGCCATTACTAAATGGTTTCCTAAAAAATAAAAACAGTGCTAGTCAATTTTACTAACCAGAATTTTGTTTAGAGCTTGATGATCCTCCATGTTCTAGTTTTGCTTTCTTCTTCTTTGATGATGATGTTGATGACTCAGAAGATACTAAACGTTTTTCTACGACAGGAGTGGAAAGAGCTCGCTTTTTGAACAGCTCCCGTTCTCTCAAAAGGCTTGGATCCATAATGCTGCAAAGATAAGATAAGTATCTTTAATACAGATTCCTCTATGCTAAATTCAAACCTGTATGTTAAATTCATAGGTCTCAGTAAGAGTTACTTCCCAAACAAAATCACCTTCTGTTACTAGTTATCTAACACTTGTATTTAGTCTCTCATGCACTCAAAAGATATTTACGTAGTGCCTATTTTGTGCCAAGCACTGTGCCAGGCGCTAGTAAAGAGAGAAAGATTATTCTCTAGAGCTCTAGAACTGCACTGTCCAGTATGGTAGCCACTGGCCACATACATGTGCCTGCTGAGCACCTGAAATGGGGCTAGAGTTGAGATGTATTCTACGCGTAAATGTACATCAGATTTTAAAGACTTAGTACACAGAAAAGAACTTACAAAATTACTAATGACATATTTTTAGACTGATTGTATGTTGATGTGACATTTTGGATATACTGGAATAAGTAAAATATTAAAATTAATTTCTCCTGATTTTTTAAACTCTTTTAGAAACTATGGCTACTAGAAAAATTTAAATTACATGTGTGGCTCACACTTGCAGCTCACATTTTATTTCTATCGGACAACGCTGCTTTAAAAACATCAAGAATACTGAGCAGAAACTAGGAAGCAGATTTAAGATGTAGGCTCACAACAACAACAAAAAAAGAGAGAAAACCATCAGAATTGCTTGCAAATGAAAAGGTGTATTTTAAAAGTGGTCAACTCGCTATCATTACATGATGAAGAGGCTGGATTAACATTTGTTAGAAATATCTACAGGACATTCCTGATTTGGACAGAAGTGACACTAAACCTCTTCCGTTTTTTTCCCCAGTTCTAAAACTCTACAATTCTAAGCAACTTCAACACAACCAGGGAAGCCACAGGTCTTTCAACAAGTATTTTTAAATGTTCCTCTCTTGTGTCAGCTCTCCCTAGAATCCCATAGCTGTGAGCTTGGAAGCTCAAAGCGGACTACGTAAATGATTCCTGCAGTGTTAAGACCAGTAGTGTTCATGAGCCGGGTAGGAAGGCCCCAAGGAAAAAGACTACCTTGTACTTTGAAAGCCTTAAAGCACAGGGTAGCTCAATAAATATTTGTTAAATGAATAATGAACGGGAAAACATCTTTAAACATAAATTGTTCCAGCCTCATTGTTACTGGTTTTACACGCCTTTATTAAATGTCCTCTGTTTGTGTGCCACTGACCTCCAAGTTCTGCAAAGTTCTGGAAAATAAATCCTTGCCTTCAACAGGCTTACATTTGAGAACCTGAAAGCACTGAGCAACTCACTTAATGAATAAATACAAAGTGACTTAGAGGGCTTTAAAGTTAAAAATATAAGCATTGATAAGAAATACCCAGAGTAAACTTCAGTTAAGTAGGAAACGAAGTATCACTGGCACAGGACCTCACTTCAAAGACCTATCTTCTCCCCTTGGTTCCAATCCCTAAGAGCAACAGGACCCTAGACAATCCTCTAGAGCTCCCTAAATCCACTTTTATCATAAGTTAAAATGAAGATATTACCAATGCTGTCTACATCTAGCTCAACTGTAAGAAAAAAATGAGAAAGTAATTATTAAGTAGTAAAAAGCTATACAAATATGTTATTTGGGTATTACTATTTTGAGTTGGCTCTGAAAAGAAATAACGATTATACTGTGGTGAGGAAGATAAGAGACCACCCCGAGGGGAGGGAAAGTGTGAGAACAGAAAGGAGAATTCGCAAATGATAAAGTAGGGCCAGTACGCCTAAACAGGAAACATCTGTTTATTTCACCTGGTGAAGAGACGTTAATTAACCCGGGCTTTTAACCATGACTTTAATACAAACTTAAATCAAAAGCCTTACAGTTTACAAAAACCTAAATGGTTACATTTGATCCTCCCAACTTTATGAGCTAAAAGGTATCCAATGTACTCCTTTTAATATGATGGAAAATCTGAATTGAAGGGTTACGGTAAGGTCACAACAGCTGTAAGTACTTGGATCAGAACCCAAATTATCCTAACTCCTAAATCAGCGCTCCTGTACTGATAACGTTCAAAGGCATCCAGAGCAGAAAGCTTAACGTCTATCACCAGGGCATGCTCCGCCTGACTTTCCTCCTCCTCTTCAAGAGAACCCTCAATAACTGCAGTTTCACAGGTGGGGTAGACACATCACCCTGCCCGTTTTACACTGAAAAATACCACAACTCGGAATTCACGTGTCCACGTGTCACGGATGGGCACTGAGAACCCAAAATTAAGTCACAATCTTCTGACTCCACGTTCTTTCCAATATATCGTTCGACTTCTTTCAGCCTTTCTACTTTCCTCTCTCGCTGCCTAAGCTTCAGAGGTGCCACTAGTACTAAGAACACTGCTATGGATAGGCGGCAGGCTGAGAAGAGACTGCTTACATCTTAAATGACAAAAATATATAGACGGAGGAAAATGTATCGCAGCGTTCCGTTTTGGAAATGGGTTTTAGCTTTGCAGAAAACAAAACTATTCTAGCTGAAGTTTAGACATCATTACAAACTAGGTGTCCAAGAGCCAGCTTTAAAACACAGAGAGAGACCGCCCATGAACGAGCATCTAAATCACAGCCTTTAGTCGGTAGGAACCACCCCAACTCCATAGTTTAACTCCGCTACTGCTAGCGTAAACTTGGGGGCTAGATAGAGGCTCTGCAACTGCGAATTCCCCCTTTCCAACCCACAAGTTTGTTCAATAAACCGCCGGCCTGAGAGACAATGCTCCCAAGAAGTTGTTACCGCGGGTAACCGTTTGGCGCAGAGAACTGCACTCCCGGCCTTCCTAGGGGTGGAAAACACGCTCGCCCCTCGGGAAGAGGCGGTGGCGAAGAGCAGGCCGGAGCTCCGCGCCCCTCACCCGGCGGCCGCAGCCCCTACCTGAGCGAGGAGGGCCGCCCCACGCGACCCGACGCCGCCTCCCTGCACCTCCGCCTCGGCCAGCCACCCACGCCCGCGTGGCTGCCGCTTCCTGCTCCTGGTCAGCGCCGGCGCCTGCCCGAACGCACAACTAGCGCTGTCCCGCCAGCCTGGGGTCTCGGCACTGGCAGTGGCGGTGGCAGAGGAGGGAGCCACTCAACCTGGAGCCCCGCCCGCCACTTCCTGATCGGGTTGCTAAAGCCTCAATCCCGGCAGCCACCGCGGCGCCGTTGCCTCCTGGAGAGCGCGTGCGTCGTCACGTGCTCCGCTGGGCGTACCGCAGGAGGAAAATCGGCCAGCTGGAGCGTTCCGAATCTCCATGACAACGGGAGAACTGCTGGGGCCGGGAGGAGAACCCGAGGCAGGTGCGAGGCGAGCAGCAGCCGCCAAGATGAAAAAAATCTTTCCGCTGCAGAATGTGAAACTACCAGATCCTCCTCCAGCTGCTCTGAAATATGTTTAACTCAAGTGGCGACGCAGTTTTTCCAGTTATTGGCTACCAGTTACCAGCATCTAAACTTCAAAGAACATTGGTTCAGCTCTATTTCAAGTGAGGAAACAGGAAGCCCAGGGAAGCTAAATTACTGCTCAAAACAGCACAACTAGCAAAAGCAAATCCTGGAGCGAAGCTGTTTCTGAATTCCCAACCAGCACACGTGTGAACACTTTCCACCGCACCTGTGAACTCCCTCAGGAAAGGATTTAGAATTCAGAAGCAACATAAAGGAGTAGCAAAGAGTAATTGGCCTTGCCCACAGCCTGCAATGTACTGGAGTGTGTCAGAGTTCTCTGTCTGTCCTTTCCTCATTCATAACCCAAAGTGTAAGTATGGCCAGTGCTGAACTATTCTGTAGCTAGCTGTCTTTTACTCGTTACTTCTCAAGTCACTTTACCTGTTTTGGTTTTCTCATCGGGGATAACTGTACTACCACAATAAATGTACTACCACAATCGCATTAGATTTACAAAGATTAAACAAGATGATAAATTTTTATTCAAAATTTGAAAATAAAACCCAAAAACTGTGTGGCTTTTAAAAATTGGTTTAATTCTAGAAGATTTTGTAATAAACCCACTTAATGTTCATCCAATACCCTCGGGAAGTGTGACAATTTAGGAGGGTACAAAGATTTTACAATCCAATAAAGCCAGAGATTGGTAAAAACCTGACAAGGTGTAATGAGGAGAAGGAGCAGATATCAAATACAAAAAATAATAATAATCTTGAAGGTTAAAATCAAGAAACATGAGCCAGTATTGTATCAATTTTTATTTCGTCATTCCTTTCTCTGGGATTATATAAATTCCAATGCCTCATACCTTTGTATAATCAGTTCTATCATTCTACTGGCTAGCTTTTCAATGAGTGAGAGACTTAATGGGCAAATGGACGTAAACATGGTCTACTTATTTATAGAGTAGACCATAAGTAACATAAAACTCTGATCCACATAAGAAAGCAAGCCACAACCTTTGAGACAACCAGCTCAGAATGGTCAGAATTTGCTCAAAGGCTGCCAACTTCCCTATTTTAGACATACACACTTCAACACACAAGTAGATATATAAACACTCACACCAGGACTAACTAGAGAAAACCAAACATGCTCCCCAAACCAATCACTCAGATGCTTCACTTCCAGTCATTTCACCTCCAACTTCCCCTGCCAACAACCTTTAATCACACAACATACCAGGAAAACTCCACACTTTTCCCTCACTATACAGACATACTTTGTCTTGTGCTTCCCTTTTTCACACTTCACAGTTATATTTTTTACATATGGAAGCCAAGATCCACAACCAGCAAAAAAAAATTACAACTCATTTTATTGCCATACTCGCTTATTCTGGTGGTCTGGAACGGAACCACACTGTTTCCAAGGTAGGCCTGTAAAGCTTCCCCTCTCTGATTGCCTTTGAGTTTCTACCAAACACAAGTGATGGTGGCTGACTCCCTTCCTGGAGAGCAAGCTCTCGTGTGAGTGATCTTGATTTATTTCCACTTGTGTTAAATTATCCATGTGCTCACTATGTACTGTGAGAACTGAGCTTAACCATTAGAGAATCATGCTTTTACAGAACTGGTCTACCTCATGGAAAGCACACAATGAACTGTTCAAAAATAAACTGAGGTACATTAACATTTTGAAGTTTATTGCACGAACTTAGATTGAAATCAGGCAGCCCCAAACTAAACACTCCACTGCCGGGAGCTCAGGGAAAGGTTTTTTCTAGCTAAAACTCGGAAGCATATCAAAGAGAGTAGTTGACTGGCCATAGCTTAAGCGATTGCCTTATTTGGAAAAGCCCAGTTGGTAGTTTGTGACTAGTTTTTTTCTTTCAATCCTTACCCAAGGATGTGTTTTTCTTGCTTTTTTAGAAAGAAAGAAAGGAAGAGTGAAACATCAATGTGAGAAAAGAACATCGACCAGTTGCTTCTTATATGCACCCTGACCGACCGGGGATTGAACCCAAAACCTAGGCATGTCCCCTGACCAGCAATGGAACCTGCAGCCTTTTGGTGTATGGGACAGCACTCCAACCAGCTGAACCACCTGACCAAGGCTGTGATTAGTTCTTAAGTTTCATTTTCTCCAATTCAAGTGTGTTGACTCTGGCTTAGGTTTCAGTTTGCTTATGTAAGCTACCCAGGCATTAGAGCCACAGCAGTCTAATGGCCTCCTTGTTTCATTATTTTAACCAAATGCTCACAATGATTCCTTCATTTCAATGTCTTGTCTCATCTCAGTCAGTTGGAAGAGATAATTGGACAGTTAAACCTTCTAATGCCAATATTAGAATATTGGAAATATTTATAATCCCGAATCCCAAATGTCCCTCCCTTGCCCAAATATTAGCTGTTATTATCATTGCTCAACTTGACCCCTCCCCTGCAGAGCCCAGCAAACTGTTGAAATATATAAATGATGGATGTTATCAACCAGTGACATCACCCCTGTTTATACTGCCTGTTGTCTGTGATGAGGTCGTAATGCTGACAGCAATGACTGAATTCATTCAAAACACTGTTGGGTGATGTCCTGTCATTTGAAGATAATTCTCAAGTGAAGACAAAAGTGGGCTCCCTCTACGGCCTGTAATTAAGCCATTTTTGTGTCAGAAGTACCTACATGTGGACACACCACAAATGAACTAAAAAAGCATTCCATTTTCCTGCTGGTAATGCTGACTCTGCCATGACTGACTTAACCATTTAACAGCAGACCAAATTAGCTTGGTTTCAAACACTTCAATGTCTGGGGGTTAAACACATTTTTATTCTGCCTTCTTCTCCTTGTTACACAATATGGGTTGCTTCTGAGGCACCTCTAACTAGTGATTAGGGAAGGCATAGGAAAAATATCCCACTCTGGTGTGGGACATGACTGTTTATGGGGACATGGCTATTTGTATAATATACACCAAGTCTCAACCACTGATGCTTAAATGAACCTCTATTTAAAGCCACCTATGTATTGGCATCCTTAGTATTTCAGGTCAGGAGGGCATGGCTAGTATCAGATTTTATGAAGTATGATTCAAGCTACTAATGCAATAGCAATTATGGCGTGTCTTATCTCATGCATGCTTGTAATACCCTGCATACTCATACTTTTTTGGCAGAAAATGTGGTGGCTTCATTAGGGAAATATAACTTGTGTATTTTATAAAACCTTCTGTCCTGACCAATCCAAAACCTCCCACTCAAAAAAGCACAACTCAATATAGCCAGAGGATCAATTCCAAAATAATGGATATTTTTTTACTATTTTATTTAATTGCGGCAAAAGATATATAACAAATAACATAAAATTTACCATTTCAACCATTTTAAAATGTACAGCTTGGTGGCATTAATTACATTCACATTATGCAACCATCATCATTTTTCACCACGTCAAACAGAAATTCCATAGCCATTAAGCAATAACTCCTCCCACCACCTCTGGTAACTCCTAATCCCTTTCTATCTCTATGAATGTGCCCCAGTTTCAGATATGTTATGTAAGTGAAATAATACAAGGTCTGTCCAGAAAAAGTTCAGTCATTGTTAATATAATGAGAAGAACGGTTTGTGCAACATCGATGTGGTCTGGCAGCCAAGAGTGGACTGGAAGGCACATGGGGGAACAATGATGACTTCACTGTACTAGTCCACGGGGGCAGTGGATGCCATTGAGTGAGCATGTGTACTGTGTGGTCATCGCATTCAAAATGTCTGAGCAAGTAGAGCAATGTATCTGCATGAAATTTTGCATTAAGCTTGAACATTCCTCCATGGAAACCATTTGGATGAGTCAGAAGGCTTTCAGGGTCGGCGCAATGAGTGTAGGACAAATAAAAGTGTGGTAAAATGCTTCAAAAGTGGTGGAGAATCTGTTGAAAGTGATCCACATTTTCTGGAAGGCCTGAAACAAGCAGAACACCTGAGAATGTTGAAGGTGTACTGGCTGCAATCAACAAAGATTGGTGACTGACTGTGAGAACTAGAAGCTGATATGGGGATTCCAAAAACTACTGGCTTTTCCCAAAACTAAAATCACCTTTGAAAGGGAAGAGATTTCAGACTGTTAATGAGGTTCAGGAAAATATGACAGGGAAGCTGATGACAATTCCAACAAAGGACTTTGCAGAGTGTTTTAAACAGTGGAAGAGATGCTGGGAGAGTTGTGTGAGGTCCCAAGGTCCTCCTTTGAAGGGGACTGAGGCATCATTGTCCTGTGTCCGATGTGTCTTGTACCTTGTATCTTCTTCAATAAATGTCTCTAGTTTTCATAGTACATGGTTGGCTACTTTCTGGACAGGCCTTGCATTTGTTGTTTTGTCTAGCTTATCTCACTTGATGTAATGTTTTCAAGGTTCTTCCGTGTTGTAGCATGTGTCAGAATGTCATTCTTTTCTATGTAGTGGCTTAATTTTATAATTTATTTTTTTACGTTACCTAATTATTTAGAAGTGGAAAATTGAAGTAAAGTAAATAATACTTCATTCTGCCATCAAATTCTGCTTTTCAGCTCCCCTCACCTGGCAGTCTATCTCAACTAACTCAGATACCTAAATTCTCAAAATAGCCGACAAAGCAAACTAGTCCACATCCACACGTGTCAAGAGCAAAACTAAGTACTTTGCTCATCATCTGTCCTTGATTTCTCTAGCACGAAGGCCTTGCCTTCCTTGGGGACTTTCCTCCT